AGGTGGGGGTATGGGACGGAATCCCTGTCCCCAGGTGGCTATGGGAGAGCTGTGCTCGTGGTACAGGGAGCAGAGGCCGTTTGTGATCTGAGTGTGGAGTTTGGGGCCCACACCCCTTCCGTGTTGGTTGACAGTGTTGGCAGCTCGGGAGGTGCCCAGGCTCTGTGAGTGCTGTTTCCTCACAGGGGACTCATCCCACCACCCAAGGACCCATCCCCACACCCAGGACACCAGCCCAGGGATCCAGCAGCTCCTGCCGTGGTGCTGGAGTCTCCCTCCTCGCACGATGCCAGGCATCTCCATCCCTCCTGCCAGTGTGGGCAGCCACCACACTCCCGGGATAGCGGGAGGTTGGGGTGCTCCAGAGGACAGGGGGCTCCCATGAGGCCCCTGGTGCTGCTGTGCCCCCTGGGGTCGCGTTCGGTGTCGCCCCATCCTGTGGGATATCCACTTGCCGCTCCTTGGGGTCGAGCGCGAGCACTGGAAGGGCCTGGGCAGGGTCACGCTGTGTCCCCCTGCACTGAGCTGGGGTCCCCTGGCTGTGCTGAGCGCAGGGGCACTGTATCCCCTTGGAAAACCTGAGGAGGGGGCACCCTGAGACCCCCCTCCGCACCCCCATGGTTTGCTCATCCACAGCCACCCCTTGGGGCCATCGCTGGCCGCAGCCGGGCTGGAACCCCTTTGTGCTTTGGCCGAACCAAAATCGGGTGCATGGGGGTTGCGGGGAGGACACAACTGGGGTCCCAGGCAGGTGCTGAGTTTGTGTTGGGGCAGGGTGGATCCTCGCTCCAGAGGGGAGCGACTCCAGCCCCGCACTGGCAGGATCCGTCCCTTCCCCCACCGCTCCCTCACATCTTTCCCCATTTAACAAACCTCAAACGCAGCTAATGAGAGCAGAAACCCAAATAAGCGTCAGAAGAGGCTGGTTTGCAGAGGCGGAAATTGCAAAGGAATCACTCACACACACACAAAAAAAAAAAAAAAAGAAAAAAAAAGAGAGAGAGAGAAGAAAGTAACTGATCCGCTCATGGGGTCAAGGAACAAACGGGCTTTGAGTCAGCAGAGCCGGTGCTGCCGCGCTGGCCCAGGCCCAGGGCTGCGCCAAGTGCCCCCTTCTCGACGGCTGCTCCTACCCCTCACAGAGGCCCTGGGTGCTGAGCCCCCGCACCGTGGGGACGGTCCCTGTCCCTCTGTGGGGCTGCTGGCGCACGTGGGAGGATCCCACTGGCACCGCTGTGGAGCCTGCGGGATCAGGCAGGGGTGCAGGCAGCAAGGGTGGCGCAAGGGGTGAGTTGCAAGTCTGGATCCTGACCCATTGGGCATCTCCCAGAGCATCACTCAGTGCTGGGATGACTGGTGTGTCCCTGCGGTCCCAGTGCAGGTTTGGAGCCTGTTAGGCTGCTGGGACCCCTTCGTGCTGCTGTGCTGTGCTGGGGCCCACAGGGATGCCTGCCCTGGGACAGCCCTTGTGCCATGGGATCTGTGGGACCTGGCATGGGGCATCCTTGGGTTCCCCAGCTTCCACACTGACCCTTCCCAGGCACTGGTGTGGTCCCCGTGCTGCTGTCCCACAGGTGTTGGGGTCTCACAGCCCCCATGTGGGGGTTCAGCGCGGCAGGGACCCTCACGCTGTGCCCCCAGCAGGTGGGATCTGCTGGCTGCAGCAGGGGAAGGAGGCCAAGTGCACCATGATCCTGCGGACGGGTGTGACATGGGAGGAATGCTGCGCCAACGGCAACGTGGATGTGGCCTGGTCCAACTACACCTACCCAGGCAACAAGATCAGCCTGCTGGGCTTCCTGGGTCTGGTCACCTGCCACCCCTGCAAAGGTGAGCGGCCACGGGGCCAGAGGGGCGCTGGGACCCTAGGGAGGGCGCTGGGACCCCTGGGGTCACTGACCCCCTGCTTCTGCTGCCGCAGCTTGGGGACAGGCACTGCGGCAGGGCCAGAGCTCATGGCATGGCCACTGACCCCCCCAGCTCACATTTTGGGTGTGTTTTTGTTGTTCCTCCTGCATTGCAGTGCCTGACCTGGGTCTTGGCCGGGCAGCCCTAGTGCAAGGAGCTGAGCTGGGTTCCCTGATCCTTGGGTGACTCTGCTGTGGCTGGGCCCTCCCGCCCCTGCCCTGGCCAGGGCTGCGCAGAGGAAAACTTCAGCTTTTTTTAAGGGAAAAAAGATGTATTTCTTCCCCTCTGCTCCCCCTCCTCCCGCGCGGGTGTGAGATGGCTTTATGTAACGGGCAGTTCCAGCAGTGGAAACTCTCCAGCTGTGAGTTCCAGCCCCGCCAGATGTTTTGGCGCACGCTGGAGGCCCAGAGCCCCCAGTGGCACTTGCGTGGCCGTGTGGGAACACGCGCAAGGACCCGCTGACCGCGGGAGCAGGCGCAGGTCTTTGGAAGGTCACTGTGTTATTGCTTAAAGGGGGGAAAAGGGCTCCGAACAAAAACCCGTCCCCCAGCCCCCTGCACCCCAGTGCTGCTGCCCCAGCTGCTCTGGGTGCAGGTGGAGCCCCCCGTGGCCCCAGGTTTCATCCCCATGGCTTTCCCCCAGACCTGCTCCCCAGCTGTGGGAATGGGGGAGCAAACTGGGAACCACCTGTGCCCCAGCAGGGAATTCCCTGGGGAGAGCGGGACCAAGCAGACAGGCAATTCCCCTTCCTCCTGCTCTTCCTCGTCCCCCATTCCCGGTGCTGTCTCCCAGTGTGACCCTTCTCCAGGGAAATCCTCCCA